GCGACAGCTGCTCAGCGCTCTGGGGCAGGCCGCACCTCAGGGCCTTGGCCGCCTGCTCGCGCATTCGCGCTGCACTGCAGACCAGCATCGGCTCCTCCTCCTACCTCACCCCCGGCGCCGCGCAAGGCGGCGCGTCTTCAGGCTCCGCCCCTGCGCTTCCAAGTCGACCGTAGGCGGGGCTGGATGAAGAGAAGGCTTTCGCAGGCTCCTCCCTCTGCCCTGCAGATCCTGCAGTAGGCGGGGCCTGAAGGAAGGGCGTCCGCCTGGGTCCCGCCCAATACTAAAGGGTCGTTGGTGGGCGGAGCCATATGGGAGGGGTGGCCTCCAAAGGCTCCGCCCCCTGCTCTGCAGGGCCAGCAATAGACAAGACTAGAGGCTCCGCCCCCTCGCTGCTGAATTAAGAGGCCCCACCCATCAAGCTGCTGTGAGGCCCGCAGAGCGCGTGGGCGGGGTACTACAAGGGTCAGTCTCCTACGGGCTACAGAGAGGCTATGTGAGACTGGAGGGCTACCACTTCCCGAGTTCCCCTTGTGAGGTCTTCTGGCTGTTGAGGCTTCCCCGGTGTCAGTAGCATTCTCTGCCCCCAGCCTTCTGTAATCAACAGTCACAGCATTGAAAACACCAATAGCTGCGGAAAAGATGGCTCAGCAAATAAAGGAGCTTGCGGTGCAAAGCCTGTTGATCTGAGCTGGATCCCGAAACCCACTCAAAGATGAACTTACACAAAGTTGTCCTCTGGCCGCAACATCCTCGCCATAGCACGCTCCCTACATTAATAAATAAAATTTAAAAAAAAACTGCGGCTTACTGTTTCTGGGTGTCCGCTGTGTGCGTTTTCACTCTTCGGCTCCTGGAGAGACCGCCAACGTGAGTCTCCACAGTAGTCAACAAATACTTGCTGCGTCATCTCATGGACCTCTGCAAAGGGATGCTGCAAAGGCTGGGAAGTGATGCACAAGACAGCGCTCACCTGGAGTGGGTGAAGCTCATCGCGGTGCCCTCCACTCCCATGAGCAGCCCACCCTGCGGCTGCTGAGTCGCTGGGAAGCTGTTGTCCCTCCCTTCGCTCAGGCAGCTCCAGTCTTCCAACTCGAGCTACTACAGATCCTTGTGCGCAGGACCTAAGACAAAACAAACATGAAAGAAAGTATTTCAAGCCCAGTACTTTGGATAAAGCTTGAAAACATGCTTAGGTGACGAATACCAAGAACTACATGTTGTGTTTCCATTTACAAGTATTTAAAAGAGGAAAAGCCACAAAGACAGGAAGTTGATTAGTGCTCTAAGGCTGGAGGGAAGGAGGTGAGAGTTTCTCTGAGGCAAATAAGCATATTCTGGGATTAATAAAAGTGAATGAACTGCCTTATTAAATATATTAAGACGCACAGGGCACGGTGGCACACGTTTCTAAGGTCAACGTTCTGGAATGAGAGTCAAGAGGATTCCCAAAAGTTCAAGGTCATCCTATCTACTTAACACACTCCAAACCTGACAAAGCTACTTACTGGCTCTCTCTCAACAAAACACAAACACTGCAGGATGGTGGTGGCACACTCCTTTAATCCCAGTACTTGGGTGGTAAAGGCAGACAGATCTCTGAGTTCGAGGCCAGCCTGGTCTACAGAATGAGTTCCAGGACAGGCAGGACTACACAAAGGCAGGACTACCCTGTCTCGAAAAACTAAAACAAGAAGAGAAGACACAAAACGCACATATGCACACACTGGGGTGGCATAAGAGTAGAGCTGGAGAGATGATTCAGCTGTTAAGAGCTCTAGAGGACGGTGTTCAGTTCAGAGCACCCATGGCAGCATACAACCGGGGAATTCCAAGGTTGTCCTTCTATCCTCCTTGACAGAGGATATGTAGGTAACAAATGCACACAAAATAAACAAATATTATTTAAAAGAAGACTAGGTCCCATGCTTGGGAAATTGTAACTCAGTTTTTTGTTTGTGTGTGTGTGTGTGTGTGTGTGTGTGTGTGTGTGTGTGTGGTTTTGGACAGTGTCTATAGTGTCTATGTAGCTGGTCTGAAACTTGCCACCGCCTCCAGATTAAAGGCATGATCCTCTCAAATCTGGCTAGTTTGGAAATTTTGTCATTTTGTTATTTTTTTTTCCACACTGTAGCCCAGGCTGATCTGAAACTATGCAGTCCAGGCTGGCTTCACTTTATGGTAATCCCCCTGCTTCAGGCTCTTAATTTTTTCTATTATAAGCATATGACATCATCTGACAAACATTTATACTTTACAGACAAAGGTTTTTAATTTTTTTTTCTTTTTAAGATATTGTCTTTCCATGTAGCCCTGGTTGATCTGGAACTCCTCGTGTAGACCAGGCTGGCCTTGAACTCACAGAACCCACCTGCTTCTGCCTCTGTAGTGTTGGAATTAAAGTTATACATCACCAAACCCAGCAATCACTTTTTGTTTTGTTTTGGGTTTTTTGTTTCGTTTTGGGTTTTTTGTTTTGTTTTTGTTTTTTGAGACAGGGTTTCTCTGTAGCTTTGGAGCCTGTCCTAGAACTCTCTCTATAGACCAGGCTGGCCTTGAACTCACAGAGATCCAACTGTCTCTGCATCCCCAGTGCTGGGATTAAAGGCATGTGGCACCAACACCCAACAACTATTTTTTAATTTTTTGGGGGGCTAGGTATAGTGGTGCCATACTTCTTTAATCCCAGAATTGGTGAGGCAAAGGAAAGAGGATCTCTTCGAGTTCAAGGCCAGCCTCTTCTATACAACTAGCTCCTGGCTAGTCAAGGCTACATAGTGAGACCTTGTCTCAATATTTTTTTAATGTGTGTGTGTGTATGTGTGTGTGTGTGTGTGTGTGTGTGTGTGCACAAAAGTTAGTTGCTGCCGGCTGGGGACATGAGCCACATAGAGCTCTGCAATTCCCCAGAAGATAAGTGTTCACCACCATACTTCTGTGGATAATGGGATGCATGAGTGAGTCCACATTTTAGGGATGAACTAAAATGTTTGGTACAACCAGTCCCAAAGAAGAACAGGTAGATGCCACACAGGCAGAAGGCAGAGATGAAAAGGAAGCAAATAGTGGTCTGGGTTCTTGAGGCCAAATGACCCAGAAGTAAATAATGTGTCCACCCAGAAGTCTGGACCATGGGAGGGATGTAGTCCATTCTCAAGGCCCACTTCTTTGCCAGATATAAGGAAGGAGGAAGTTAGTATAAGGAGGAGCTCCAACCTAACAATTGAAAATCTACAAGCTAATAAAGAATTGTAGATAGAGTGTTGTAGGCCTGGCATTGGTGGTTCACGCCTTTAATCCCAGCACTCAGGAGGCAGAGGCAGACAGATCTCTATGAGTTCGAGGTCAGCCTGGTCTACAGAGTGAGTTCCAGGAGAGCCAGAGCTACACAGAGAAACCCTGTCTCAAAACACACACACACACACAAAAGACAGTGTTCTAGAAACAGCTTGAAAACACTAGCATGAGGACTGAAAGGATGCATATTTACCAGCCATCTACTGTAGACAGAGCATTTGTCCCAAGTTTGTCAGAACCCCAGATACAAGGGCTTCTCCAAGGTCACCTTGACCTTGGCCGTTGCTGTGTCACCTGTGCATTGCTAAAGGAAAGATGCAGGGAGTGACCTTTATAGAAGGCATTTTGAATGGAAGACTTGGCAGGAAGCCATATGCCAGCAGGTAGACAGCATGTAAGGTCTGTAAACAAAGTCTGTGCTTAGCTGTCCTGGAAAGTCTCCATGTGTGTGGAGGGAAAGCAGCATGGGGTAAGGAAGGACAGGACACAGAAGTACCAAGTCTTTTTCTTAATATGGGAAAAGTTTTACAGGTTAAAGGGAACATGCCAGCAAAGAGAGGTGAACAGGAGAACATTCAAGAACTCAAAGGGCAGAAGGATACACCCACAAGAAAAAAGTGAAGCAGAGTGGCACACACCTGTAATTCCAGCTCTCAGGTGGCAGAGGCAGGCAGACATCGAGGCCAACCTGGTCTACAGATCGAGTTATGAGCCAGTCAAGCTACATAATGAGAACCTAGCTCATAAACAAAAACAAACAAACAAAAAAACCAAAGGAAACAACGAAACTAAGTAAGTAAAACAAATTAATCAGCTGTTTAAAAAATACATTTATTTGATTATTTTCTTTTATGTGTATATATCTGTCTGTGTGAGTGTACCCCATATATGTGCAGGTCCTGTGTAGGACAGAGGACGGTATAGGATTCCCTGGGACTGGAGTTACACATGACATGGGTGCTGAGAACTGAACTGGAGTCTTCTGGATGGACAGTACACACTTTTTTTTTCAGTTCACACTCTTAAATGCTGAGCTATCTCTCCAGCTCCACTCTCTTCTTATTTTTATTATTATTATTTTGTTGTTATTGTTCTAAGACAGAGTCTCACTATATAGCTCTAGTTGACTTGAAATTTACTATGTACTCTAAGCTGTCCTTGAACTCATAGAGATCCATCTACCTCTGGCTCCCAAGTGCTGGGATTAAAGGCAGGTGCCATGCAGACCCAGAATAATCATCTCTAAAAGACTGTATGAAAGTGTCTGTGGCTGGATGTGGTGGTACATGCCTTTTTCACACAATAAATCTTCTTTTTTGTTTTTTGTTTGGTTTTGGACTTTTTTTTTGGAGGGGGATTTCTTTTTGTTTGTTTGTTTGTTTTTTTGTTTTTCGAGACAGGGTTTCTCTGTGGCTTTGGAAGTTGTCCTGGAACTAGCTCTTGTAGACCAGGCTGGTCTCGAACTCACAGAAATCTGCTTGCCTCTGCCTCCTAAGTGCTGGGAGTAAAGGCGTTGTGCCACCAACAACTGGCCCATGGAGAGGGGATTTCAAGGCAGGGTTTCTCTGTGGCTTTGGAGGCTGGCCTGGAGCTCACTTGTAGACCAGGCTGGCCTCAAACTCACAGAAATCTGCTTGCCTCTGCCTCCCGAGTGCTGGGAGTAAAGGCGTGTGCCACCACTACCCCGCTTTCTTTTTTGTTTTGTTTTTCATGATAGGACTTCAAAATAGCTAGGCGGTGGTGGCAAATGCCTTTAATTGAAGTACTCGGGAGGCAGAGGCAGGGAGATCTCTGTGAGTTCGAGGCCAGCCTGGTCTACAAAGGTAGTTCCAGTACAGTCAGAAATTTGTTTTTTCTTTAAAGATTTTATTTATTTATTATGTATACAACATTCTGCTTCCATGTATATCTGCACACCAGAAGAGGGCACCAGATCTCATAACGGATGGTTGTGAGCCACCATGTGGTTGCTGGGAATTGAACTCAGGACCCCTGGAAGAGCAGTCAGTGCTCTTAACCTCTGAGCCATCTCTCTAGCCCCAAGAACTGTTAAACAGAGAAACTCTGTCTCAAAAAAAGAAAAGAAAAGAACAGCAATGTGTATTCTAGCAATATGTGTGATGTGTGTGTGTGTATACACCTTTGAGCCCAGGCTGGCCTAGAATTTGTTATTCTTATCCTAACAGCTTCCCCAGCACTAAGTCTGCAGGTATGAGCCACCATACCTAGCTTATCACACTATGTATAGCTCTTGCTATACTGGAACTCACCAGTGTGAGTATTCAGGCATCTGTACTGGCCTGTCCTTGGGGTTCTAACAGGATATGCTCTCAGCTGCAGCCACTAAGAGCACTACCTGTACACATTCACTATGTTCCCTTTTAAAGGGGCCCTGCCCACCTTCCAGCTCTCTTTCCCTCCCTCCCTCTCTCTCTCCCCCTGCTTCTCTGCCAGTTTCTCTGTCTCCTTCCCCACTTTTCTTTTCTGCTGCTCTTGTCCCCAGAGGCTGGTCTCCCCGCTCCCCTCCCCCCTTTTCCTATTCACTCTTATTCCCCCAATTAAAAACAAAAAACAAAAAACAAAAAACCCTCCATCCAAGTTCTGTCATATGGTATCTTTCTCTCACAAGCCATGTTTTTAAATTACAACATCCAGCTGGCCTTGAATTCACAGAGATCCTCCTGCTTCTGCCTCCCAAGTGCTGAGATTTAAGACGTTTACTATCACTCCCAGTTTATTGCCCCCCCTTTTTTTGGTTTTTCAAGATAGGGTTTTTCCGTGTAGTCCTGGCTGTCCTAAAACTTCCTCTGGAGACCGGACTGGCCTCAAACTTACAGAGATCCACCTGCCTCTGCCTCCTGAGTGATGGGATTAAAGGCGTGCGCCACCAAAGCCTGGCTCCCCTCTTCCTATGTATACTTGGCTAGCTTAGAACTTGCTATATAGACTATGCTGGTTTTTTCTCACTTAAACGACCTACTTGCCGTTGCCTCCTTAATTAAAGGTACATGACATCTGGACACTTTTTAATGACTTATTTTGTATTCTATGTGCATGATTTTTTTACCTGCATGTTAAGTGCATGACATGCATGCAGTTCCCACAGAGCCCACAAGAGGGCTGCTCTAGAACAGGAGTTACAGATAGCTGTAAACTGTCTTCTGGAAATAGACTCCAGGTCCTTTGCAAGAGCAGCAAATGAGCCATCTCTCCAGCCCTATCCTAGCTTTGAGACAGTCTCTCATTGAACCTGGAGGTCAATGTTTCAGCTAGACTAGATAATCATTGAATCCCTGGAATCCCCATTTCCATTTGCCAGCTCTAGGGTTACAGATACATATTGCCAAGCCTGCCTTCTTTCTTTTCTTTTTTAAATTTTAATTTGGGTGCTGGGTATCAGAATTCAGGTCATCAATCTTGCCCAGTTTGCATATCATTACCCATTAAGCCATCTCCCTAGCCCCTCAACTTTTTTTTTTTGTTTGTTTTTGTTTTTTGTTTTTTGTTTTTTGAGACAGGGGTTCTTTGTAGCTTTGGAGCCTATCCTGGGATTCGCTCTGGAGACCAGGCTGGCCTCGAACTCACAGAGATCCGCCTGCCTCTGCCTCCCGAGTGCTGGGATTAAAGGTGTGCCCCACCAATGCCCGGCTCAACTTGTATACTTTAAACTTATGAAGTTATTGGATATATGAATTAGATATTCATAAAAGTTTTTGACAAAACCAAACAACATAAAAGCACCTCCTACTCTTCCCCTATAAAGAAAAAGAAAGAAGGCACAATGCAAGTTCAGTCACAGGGAAGTCAGTTATTATGCTCTAGGGGTTATGTGGCAAAGCAAGGGACTGTTTGATCATTTCATGATCTCCAATGCTGTTCAAGAATACATATCCACTGCCGGGCATTGGTGGCACACATCTTTAATCCCAGCACCCTGGCTGGGCGTTGGTGGCGCACGCCTTTAATCCCAGCACTCGGGAGGCAGAGGCAGGCGGATCTCTGTGAGTTCGAGGCCAGCCTGGTCTCCAGAGCGAGTGCCAGGATAGGCTCCAAAGCTGCACAAGGAAACCCTGTCTCGAAAACAACAACAACAAAAAAAAGAATATATATCCACATGACCCCAATCAGTCTTCCTGCCGTGTTGACAAGAGGGACCAACTCAGAAACTGGAAAATAGAGAATGTGACTTTTATTTTCAGTGCTAGGGTTGGAATCCAGAGAATCCAGGGCCTCTTGGGTGCTAAGTGGGAGCCCTGCTTCAGCTACACCCCAGCCCTATGAATGTAATTTGTGCAAAAGCTCATCTTCATTTGTGAGAAGTGCTTCTACAGCATAAGCCATTGTGGTCTTAACCTGAAAAGGAGCTACTCTCTGCGTGGGCCCCATAGAGATACATGGTTCTTCAGGCAGATGGCCACTCACCTCTTACTAACAGCCAGCAGGATATTAGGGCCACCAAAATGAGTAGGCTACTGATGGTGTCTTTTCAGGAGCAGAATATATGTGGCCCCTTTATATCTGGATGCCAGAGTCAACATACCGCTGACATCACCTGCTTCTAGGGTGACTCAGTGTTCTCTCTCTCTGTGTGTGTGTGTGTGTCTCTGTCTCTCTCATATAATTCAGGGCTGTTGCAGTTCTTCTGACGTTTCCATGGCAACATTCACAAGGATTTCATAGAACATAAGGTGTTTGAGCAGGAAGGGCCCTTGGAGATCAACTCCTCCTCCACATTTCACAGAACAGGAAGTAGGTCCAGAGAGGCGATACCAAATACATGGGGTCACACTGCAAGAAAGAGACCTCTGCCCCATGGCTTTTAGACAGCTGACAGCTGAGTCCTGCAGCTGACTCATCATGAAGTGCTCTGAGAACGAAAGCTTTGGGGACTCTGCCATTGCCTGCTACAGGACCCCTGAAGCCCAGTCTCCCTTTCTGCTGCTTAATCACAACCCATTCCTTTCAGTGCCAGTGAGGACAGGAGCAGGCAGCATAGGATCCATCCTGTCCTCAGAAAGTTTCCAGATGGGCACAGAGGACACACAGCAAGCTTCTAGAGAACCACTGGAGGGCATCCAGGGTGCAGGAAGTAGGGGCAGGAGGAGCCTGAGAAGCAAGGCTCCAAGCAGAACCTGTAAGGTCAAGGAGATGTTGGCTCCTGCCTGCACTGCTCTCCAGCACAGGCCAGATTCTGGTGTGGGGGTAAAGATAGAAGCCTAGGGAAAATTGGAACCCTGAGTGAGGCTGGGCTGGGGACTCATGGCACATGCTACACCAGGGCTCAGACTCCCAGAAGGACCAGTTTCAGGAAGCCAGATTAAGTGGCACACACCTTTAATCCCAGCATTTGAGAGGCAAAGGTAGGTCGATCTCTGAGTTCGAGGCCAGCCAGGCCAGTTACACAAAGAAACCCTGTTTCCCTGTCAAACAAAACACAACAAAAATGTTAAACTAAAAAATATGCCGGGCACTCAGGAGGCAGAGGTAGGCAGATCTCTGTGAGTTCAAGGCCAGCCTGGTCTCCAGAGTGAGTGCCAGGAAAGGCTCCAAAGCTACACAGAGAAAACCTGTCTAGGAAAAACCAAAAAAAAAAAAAAAAAAAGTTACAGGAGCTGAGGGGCATGAGAAGACCAAAGGTCAGGACTGTAAGAGGATTCAAAGGCAAGATTTCAAGGAGACCAGGGTAGCTCCATTCATTTGGGGACAATGATATGTACACACATTTTTTTTTTTTTAAAGCATAGAGCCATGTTTGTATTCCAAGGTTGAGGGCTGGACCACACTCTTCCCAGGTGCATACAGCCAGTCCTAACTTCCTGCCTTTGGGGCTGATCAACAGTGCTCTTTCTAAGAGACTCAAGGACTGATTCCAGGCCAGACTAAGCCCCTTGCACCCTCTTGACCCTTTCTCACCAAACTGGATACTTCCCTCAAGTTTGCTCTGCACTGTCATTAGTTGTTTATTGCTATGTTACAAACATCTCCCAAACACATAGGAAACAGATTTTAAAAGGCTCCTCTCTATGGGTGGTGGTGGCAAATGACTTTAATTCTAGCATTTGGGAGGCAGAGGCAGGCCTGGTCTACAGAGGGAGTTCCAGGAAAGGCTCCAAAGTGACAGAGAAACCCTGTCTCAAAAAAAAAAAAAAAAAACAAACAAATAAAACCACAACAACAACAAAAAGGCTCATCTCTAGAAGAGCATGGTGGCCCACTATAATCCTAGCACTTGGAAAGCTGAGGCAGGAGGATTTTGAGTTTGAGGCCGGTCTGGGCTACATAGCAAAGTCCTATTCTACATAGAGCATCATCCACTGAGCTGTGCCTATCAGCAATTCGGCTTATTCAGTTTTTCTCCATTGGCTGCCTGGGCGTTTTCTAGTTATGGCAGCCAGATTTTGAAAACCACTGTCTCAGGGTACAAGAAACTTGGGGTCACTTCTGTTTTATCATTGCTACTGCCCAGATTCAAGGGCAGGAGACATAGATCCACTCACTTTATTACTGGCAAAAATACCAAATAATTAGCCATCTTCTTTTGTTGTTGTTTTGCATTTTGAGATAGAGTCTAAATATAGCCTTGGCTGTCCTGGAACTAACTATGTAGATTAGGCTGGCCTCAATCCATCTGTTTCTGCCTCCCCAAATGCTGAGATTAAAGGCATGCCCCCCACCATACCAACTCTTTATTTTTATTTTAATTAATTAACTTTGAGACAGGGTTTTGCAGCAGGCTCTCTTGGACTGCCAGCCCCCAAAATCATGACATGGAGACAATATTAATTATAAATGCTAGGCCTTATCTTATGTTTGTCCCACTATCTCTTAGCGATTGTTTTAACCTTTTTTCTTTTCATCTACATTTTGCCTCAGGCTTTTTACCTTTCTTTCATTCTGTATGTCCTACTTTTTCTGCTTTTTCCTGATGCAGATGGTTCTTCCTGCCAGCCTGGTCCCACAGTTCCATCAGACCCAAATAAACACACAGACGCTGTATTAATTAGGAAACTGTTCTGTTGGTCAATGACTAGGGCTTCTTACTGGCTAGCTCTGTCTTAATTATTAACTCATTTCTATCAATCTATGTATTGTAGCAAGGCTGTGACTTACCTGGTAATGCCCGGCATACTGTTACTCCTCTGGCAGCATCTTGACTCTCTCCAACATTCTCACTCTGCCTACCTTTCCCAGAATCCTCCTCCTCTGGTAGCCCCACCTACCCTTCCTGTCTGGCCACTAGCCACACAGTGTTTTATCCATCAACTAATAAAAGAAACATATACAGAAGGACATCCCTCAACATCTCCTCTTTTCAGTCTAAATAAAAAGAAGGGTTTCAACTTTAACATAGTAAAATTATATATAACAAAACAGTTATTAATCAAGAACTATAACTACAATATTTAGTCCATTAACATTTAGCAAGATTTAAAAAAAAACATTCTATCATCTATTCTATCTTTGTAAGTCTAAAGTCTTTTCCATGTCTGGCTGCCTGGCCAGCCCCAGGATTTTCCCTCTCTTTCTCTGTTCTCTCCTTTCTCTTGAGCCTAGATTCCTCCTCCTATTTATTCTTTCTGTCCACCAGCCCCACCTATCCCTCTACTGCCTAGCTATTGGCCATTCAGCTTTTTATAAGACCAATTAGGTAGGTGTCTTATAGGCAGGTAAAGCAACATATCTTTACATCATTGAGCAAATGCAATGTAAACAAATGTAACACACTTTTGGCCTCGGTGGTGGTGCATGCCTTTAATCCCAGTACTGAGGAGACAGAGACAGGTGGATCTCTGTGAGTTCAAAGCCAGCCTGGTCTACAGAGTGAGTTCCAGGGCAGGCTTCAAAGGTACAGAGAAACTCTGTCTTGAAAAACCAAACCAAACAAACAAAAGAAAGCAACAACAATAAAAAACGCAAAAAACAAAATACCCAAATGTAATATACTTTTACATAGTTAAAGCAATACTCCACAACATAAATAAATGTAACACATCTTTGCCTATTTAAGCAAATATTCCACAACAGAGTTTCACTATGTTGCAATGATAGGCCTGGAACTTGCTATGTAGACCAGGCTCGCATTTAACTCACAGAGATCTGTCTATCTCTGCCTTATAAGTACTAGGATTAAAGGCTTGCATCACCATGCTTAGTTTCTAACTTACATTTCTTTCGCCAATTTAGTAACTGCTCATTGAGGCCAGGAGCTGGCTGCCAGGGATATGGCAGTGACCAAGACAAGCTGCTTCCTGTGCCCAGAAAGCTTACATTCCAGGGTGAGAAACAGATGGGAACAGAAGAGCCATGAGATATAGTGATCAAAGATGAGAAGAACTGTGGGGAGGAGAGAGCTGGGACTTGAGGTTTCTCAGGAGACAGCAGAGACCTGGGTTTTATGTAAACGCTCGTCATTTTAAAAGCATGTCTGTCTCTTCTGTGCTGGAAGCTCCCCTCCTCTGCTGCCCTCCCACCTTTTCTAGCTTGCTTGTTCTTTCTCTCTTCCTAGTTGCCTGCCCTATTTTCATTACTCATCCAAAATTCCCCACTCGCAGCCCCTGCCCCAGAGCATCTAAACTTGAACTCTTTGTTCTTATCCCACTTACTGGACATATTCTGGGCAGCAGCTGGAAGGAGGCAAGTGGGCACAGGCTGCTGAGGTACCCAGCTGAGCTCCTGGGCCAATCATCCTGAGGCTGGCTTTGTGAGAGTGGGATATCTGGCACCCTCAGGGGATGCAGCAGTGGGAGCCCAGTATCCCCACTCTAGGTCAGGACACACAGATCTTGGCCTGAAAGAGGTAGGAGGTCAGTGAAGGGAGCCAAGGAAAGGAGACCTGAGGCTTTTCTGGGTTTGCTTTATAACAATAGGTCCCTGAGGGGTAAAGTTGAACCATAGGACATGAATGCAGCCAGAGTTCCCAAGAGCAGCCTTATTGCTGCCATGTGCTAGCCTGGTGATCATGGACGGAAGCTCCCTGTTGCCTTTCTGGGCCTCAGTTTCCCCATCTGACCATTGGGAGTTGTAGCAATACCCACCTCACAGACTAGCACACCTAGCACATGACAGCAGTCAGTGCAGGGAAGCTTTGCAGGCTACAGCAAGGCCCTGTCTAGGAAATACTCTAGGCAGCGTGCCTCCATCTGGGTCCTTCCAGGCCTTGAGCCCCAGAGGCAGTGAATTGTTCATGCTCTTGTCATTGCTAGCTTAGAAGGCTCAGGAGACCTCCAAGAGACCCAGAGTTTTGGTGACAGGAGGACAGCTAGGCCATTCCAGAGGAACACCAAGAAATACCCTGTCTCAAGGGCACCACCCCCCTGCACCATTGTCCTCACCTCTGATCACTCAAGTCTCATTCTCCAGACTGGAGTATCTTGGGTGAGAGGCTTCCGACAGAGCTCCTCTGGTCAGTATAGGTGATGCAGCAGAGTCAGTTCCTGGAGGTGGGTATGCCAGGTCCTGGACCAGTTTGGGGTCTAGAGAATCACTACTGACACTTTTGCATTAGAAACTAGGATGGAAAGACTGTGACCAGTCACTTCTGGGGAAGAAGCCTCCTATCTACTAGGCTCTCAGGGCAGGGGACTTGCATGGATTATCTCAGAGGGCCTGATGCTGGCTGTCATACCCACTTCCTTTCCTTCCTCAGATACCCATGCTTCAGCCCAGGTGGCAAAGTCTGCGAGGAAAAGCTGAAAGCAAGGGCTTCTGAAAAGCAACCTTCCCACTACGCCTTTGATCAGCTGAGCCCAGGGTGCTCAGGCATAATAGGGATTATTTGTGAAGCCTGAGTGTGGGAGCTTCCTGGATCTGCCTGACCTGGAGGGTACAGCATTGAGAACAAGTGGGTCAGATGGCTGGCATCTCTTGCTGAGAAGAAACGGAATCTCAGGCTGCCTACTCAGCCTTCTGCCCCAGCCTCTTCATCTCAGAACACACCCGTGTCTCAGGTCTAGGGCCCAGTCTATTGAGTTAGATTACTAAGCTGGGACACTGGAGACTGGGGTAAGGAACAGTGCAGAGAGGACACAGGATCCTGGTGCTTCTTCACCCTAGATGCAGACAGTTGGGGCCCTTGAGTTTAGCAGAGCACCAGAGCATGCTCCTTGGGTGGAACACCTAGAGCCTTGCTGGGACCTCCTGACTCCGCCCCCGGAGCGGCGGGCTTATTTGCAAGGCTCCGCCTCAGAGCGGCCATTGGCTGCGGCGGCAGGAGGCCGGGCCTGAGTGGCTGCGCCGCCAGGGAGGCGGGGGCGGGGCGGGCGCCGAGTGC